CAAACTTGTCAAGCTGAACTTGTTTATGGGTCTAGGCATAGATGGAACTTGAGTAGGTAGCGATCTAAGTGACTGATTCACATTGGTTTCACCAGTTGTCCCATTGATGTTGTTATCACCGTCAATCATTATTGAAATTGTTAAAAAACTACAAAACCGTAGTAAGTATTGAGAACTCAATTTAATTAGCAACTAACTTTTTTTTTAAATCACTATACAATAAATATTCCGAAAAATTGTTTAAACTTTCTTAAACATTTAATAGTCATTCTCAGAACTCGCCTTGAAAGCATTCTTAAAAGTTGTTTTTAGTAACAAACATGATCATTTTATGATTAAAAAGAACAAGATTACGAATCTGTCAAAAACTGTTGCGTTAATTATTTTCTTATAAAATTTATATTTATTGATAAAAATATGATTTATCTTTATTGATAAAAACGTTTTGCGGAATAGCTAAAGATCGTTTGCAACAGAGATATTCAAAAACATTTTATAGAAATATTATGCGCAAAATGTCAATCTAATTTAAGCGATAAACAGAAAGTTGAGTTATTGAGTTAAGATTGTAGGATTAAAAAAATCCTGATTAAAACTCAGAAAATAAAAGTGTGTGAACGATTATAGAATGACTTAGAAAACGTTTAAGAAATAGATAAATTCGTGAAGTTGAGGTTTGATCTATTATATTAACTCAATAAATCACCTGTAATGTGTGATGGTTTTTATGGAATTTTTAAATCCAAAGATACAACCACGATAAGACTGTTTGGTTGCACCCAAAAAAGAATCTACAAACTAACTACTATGCTATACTTTTGATACTCACCTAAAGAAACTACTAGGGTTTTTAATGGAATTAACTAATTGTATTTGTGTGTGAAATAATGAAGATGGTATGTGCTTATTTATATAGGTAGGAGACTGAATCGATAATTCAAGATAAATTATCTGAATTTTTTTTCAAACTATTTTAGCACAATCTAAAATATTTAGATTTATCTTGATAATTGACAGTCATGATATTAATTTATCTAGAAAATTATGTAAAAATTTTGATAAGAATTTGTACAAAATAAACATACAAGACCCAAAGCCAAGTTCAGCAGTGAGGTACGGTTGTGGTTTGCATAACAATCCATCTCTTTTTCATAGTGTTTCACTTCCTATTAACATGATATTAATTTATCTAGAAAATTATGTAAAAATTTTGATAAGAATTTGTACCAAAAAAACATACAAGACCCAAAGCTAAGTTCAGCAGTGAGGTACGGTTGTGGTTTGCATAACAATCCATCTCTTTTTCATAGTGTTTCACATCCTATTAAACATTGATAAATGAGTATCATATTTATACTATAATTCTTTTTTTGTGCTAACCAGTGCGAAACTTTTTATTCGTGTAATTCATTTAAATGAAATGTTTTTAATTTAGAGTTGAAAAGACATTTGACATTTCTTCACTTTACAACCTAATTTTATAAAAAAACAATAAATAAGTATTTTTCTAACTGACAACGATGTTGTCGGTGGTAACAATGATGACGACAAGATGGTGAAAGTAAACACTGGCGGACGATGGTGATAATATTGGTGGCAGTAACAATGTCGATTTAACAATGATGGTGTTGTTGACAAATGACAACATCACCGAGGGTGACTGTGGTGGTCACCATGTCAGTGTTCAGTTTTATTATGGTTAATAAAATTAGTTGGTGAGTTATCTCTATATATTGTATAGCCCCTATAAGTTAATTAATAACATATACTTTTATGATACTGTAGATAGATTGACATGATAATTTTAATATTTATAGTTTATATTTTTCTTCAAGATATGATTAGATGAAAAATGATAGTTTTAGAACATATTAAATAAGCTTTTAAATATAAATTAATTAATTTTACATGTTAATTAATTTATTACCATAGTACAAAATTTCTATGATATATTAAATGGATAAATAACATATTTTATGATATACTGACTAATTAAAGACATTAGCTGTATAATAAAAATTAAAATGCATTTTAATCTCAGTTTTTAAAGTTAATTGAAAATATCATCAGTATTTTATATTGACAATATGGTTTTAGACCAAACTTTTTTGGGTAGCTAAACAAAAAAAAATATTTTTTATTTAAATATTTTTTCTTAATTATTAAAAATCCATTGTTTTTGGTGTAAAAATGTGATTGTTTGTTTACCAGCTTTTGACTCGCCTTCATCAATCAATCAATTTTCTTTGTTTTTGATTATCAAAATTTTAAGATTTTTAACTCCGTTTGCATTTTATCTCTCTTTAGCTAAACTATTTTGGAGTTGAACGTTCAATTTTCTTCCATTTTTTAAAATTCAATTTCTAACTCTAGCATAAATTATATTAGCAAAAGAAAAACTCTAGCACCAATTAACTTAGTATTATATAAAATCCATTATTAGTTAGCTAATAAAAAATTCCTTCATTTATATCTATTTAACTCACTCGTAATGTAATATAACATGCTTACATATACATATAGTAGATCGTAGTAAACTTTTTTTTTTTTTGTCAAACACTACTTCTATTAACTTAAATCACCATGTTATCCTCTTAGAAGAAGAGAGTTTAGAGCTGAAAACAGAGCCTCTTTGGCCATACAATCCGCAGACGTATTACAATGCCGAGGAACAAACACAAAAGAGATAGATAAAAAGGAATGACTCAACACGGTTATATCATGGAAGATTCCTTGGAGTGCTGTCACAGAGGTGTTTCCTGTGATCATCTGAATAAGACCCTTTGAATCTGAGTGACAGATTAGGTCGTTAACATTGAGAGATAGCTGCTTCTAATGCCGCTAGAGCCAGCGCTTCGGCCACTAGAGCAGAAACTATCCGCGTTCGAGAAGAGGACCCTTGCAGGATTGTAGTTCCTGTATTATCTAAGTAAACCCAACCAAGTCCCGCAGTATATGAATCGCTCTTCCAAGCCACATCCGAGAAACAGAGTTCTCAATGAGCTGATTGTGATTTTCGAGGATAGAGAAATCTTTGGTCGAAACAGGGGGAGGTTTAGTGAGACTTGCCACTCTTTAGCATGTTTTAAAGCTTTTCTCAAAACCTCTGTTTCTGAAAAAGACTTTTCCTCAAAAATCAGTTGATTTCTATTTGTTCAAAGAACCCACATAATCCATGGATAAAGAGGTGTGATCAGTCCCACCGGCGGGAGATTCACGAGTAGATCGTAGTAAACATCTTAATTGTTTCTTGATGTACGGCACTACTAGGCTTATTTTTTGTACGGCACTATGCTGATATGGTAGGAAAAAAATTATGATCGTCCACAACCATTTGACATTATCGTGTATTTTGTTTTGTGAACAACTTAAACAGATACATAACTGGCATCCTTATAGACAACAAACAATCTTATATTGCGTGCGTATTTATTATTATACGAAAGAAAATATCCATATTTTTGGAAAATGGCATAGATCAAAATATGTAAAACATGACTAATTTAAAATAATCATAGGTAATTAGAGGGTAATAAAATAGATCTTCTATTAAATTTTATTTTACTCACCTGAAATTAGAATGTAAGAGTATTTATAACTGATAGTAATAGAAAATATATAAATTGATTCTCTTACATCTTTTACTAAGAATATCTTTTATTTTAAGTTCAAAAAAATAAATCTATATTATTAAAAGAGAAGTACCCATATAAAATACTCCTTAGTTTTCACTTTTATTTACAATAGTATGCCATTGAAGTAATTAAATAAACGTATATGCAAATCATTGTCTTTCCCTATTTATTAAACAATTTCCTAAATCGATTCTAGCTTAATTTTCGTGTTTAATATATTCCCTAAAATAAAATAGCTGATTTTTAGGAATATTCATATTTAAAATCAATTTTAAAAATATTAAATTTGTATAACGTTACCATTAATTATTTTGAACAAAATTCAAGTTTAAATTGGAAATTAAAAAAATATTATGAATATTCCTAAAATATATGTTTAACTTAGCATTAATTATTTTAAACAATAAGATTTTAAATATATTTAAACTACTTATAAACAACATGAACTATTTGTGACTGAATATTATTTTAATATAATTAAATCTCACCTAAGAGTAAATATTTTTCAAGAATTTCTAAAATATATGTTTTACCATTTTGGTTGCTATTAATTATTTTCAACAAGAAAATTTAATACTGAAATTGAAATATTGAGTTACTTACAAAACAATGTTTAATGTTTATAACCAAATATTCTTTTTATAACGTATCTAAATCTTACCATATTATCCATATCTGATCAAAATATTTAAATTCTTTTTACATTTGGCAAACAATTTCATGTTACAAGAAATATCATTCAAACTATCAATAGGTCAATATTAATTTTTCAAAAGTTTAATAATAGACACGAATCACTATTTTTACATCACATAAACTATTTGATTGTTGTGTTTATAAAAATTTAAAACTATGATAAATATTTAAAAATATTAACAGATAGACATTTAAATAATATTCATTTATATAAAAAATGAAATAAATACCCGTCCGGTCAGACGGGTCCAGCTCTAGCTACTAGTATCTTTTATAAGTTAAAAAAGCCACCAAAGCAATTTTCCTTCTTCTGTTCCTCAAGAAAAACAAAACCAATTTCATTAAAGCAACCGAGCCAGAAGCTACACCGCAAGACAATACACAAATGAGACTTACTAATAACTAATGGCCGACTTCGTACTGGCCCAAATCACAATCACACTGTTGTTGTTTCCACTGTAATATATAAAAAGTTCCTCGCAAAATTTTGCTGATTCGATAAATTTTCTTATTGATATAAAGAATAGAAAGTTCAATAGGAAAACCAAAAAGCACTGTTTGTTGCTTTTAATATAGTATAAAACCCAAAAAAATCAGAAATAGTAAAGTAAAATATCACTAAAATCTTGTCGATTCAAAAAATAATATTACTCAATTTTCTTATTCATAAAAAGAATATAAGATCCAAACTAATACAATATATTTCTTCTAAGTCTTAAAAGAATAAAAGAATAAAACCAATTTTCCTCTTAATGAAACACTTTTCCCATTTCTGTAAACTCTCTAAACCCCTCTAAATGTGTAAATATTTTATAAAACTAAAACTTTTGTTTCTCAAAACGAAGAACTCCCTCCAATACTCCAAGCCGAGACCGTGTAAAGCGGCTGATCCAACCACCTTAACGTGACTCCTCCTCCATCTTCATCGCTCCTCTCCACATTAAAGAACTCCTCATCCCCATCTCCATACATCCTTAGCAGCATCTTACTCTGCAGAACCTCTCTCTCCGAAACTCCAAGACTCCGAAACCCTAACAGCTCCAACATCCTCCTCCACTGCCCAAAACCCACATGCCTCTCTTGCCGATGACTTCCTTCGCACGCCACAATGTTCCTGATCTCCCTCCCAAACAAAACCTCCTCAATCTTAACCCTCATCAAGCTATCCACCCCAAGATGCTTGTGCATCACGTCAAAAACCGCTGAATAGTATTTTAACGAGTTAAACACTCTTGTCTCGAGCTGCACCGAGTTATGTTCTGCCTCCTGTTCGGTAATAACGACAGCTACAGGGTTTGTGCTTCTGACCAAACCCACAAAGTCTCTAACTGCTGTTCCATCGTAAAGCGTCTTGTGCATCTGCGAAACGCAGTTCACAGCGACTGCTTCACCTTCCTTGACGTGAAGCATCCAAACCCTAACGTCCTCGAGTCTATCAACAACTGGATGGAACTCGAACTGGAGATTCATCGCATCCGCGAAGCCGTGGAGACGGTCTCCCGTCTCGTTGAGCTCGTGTTTGGACTCTCCTACGCCTGTGATGCGCACGTGGCGTGGAGGGTTTGGTCTTGAAGCTAGGGTTTGGAGGAAGCTTGGCCATTGTAAGCCTTGCTTGATGTCGAAGTCTATGATGTGGACTCTCTCTTTCCCTTCGAATGCTCTTAGTAACATCGAGTTAGCTGTGTAGTGGATGAATTTGGGGATTGGTGTCGCTTGGTTCAAGAATCTCAACGCTGTTCCTGTCTCGTCCTCGAAGTCGCGAGGTGGTGTGATGTGGAAGATGTGAGGGTACATGCGGGACACTCTTAGAGCTAGAGCTTCCGTGTAGTAAGATATGAGACGAGTCATTGGTGTTGTGCCTCTTGGAGAAGCGAGGTCACCGGTTCTTGCAATGAAGTGGTTGATGGCTGCTATGTTTCTTGTTCTGATCGCTTCTAAGCATCCGGTGAGTAGGTTTACAAGCTCTAAGTCTCTCTGCAAGTCGTTGTTGTGATTGTTGTTGTTGATGGTATCAATGGTTCTTCTTCCCTCTGTGCTGCCTCCGTGTGAATATGGATTCCTTGAACCGTTTGTGGGTTCTTGTAGTCTGTGTCTCAAGATATGACTCTCTGATGATGCGCTTGTTGATGATCCTGAAGCAGGACGGCTACTCGCAGTGTCCTTATCTCCTAAACCAGCTAACTCGGTGATATTAAACCAGTGTGGATTACTCGGTAAAGGCTGAGAGATTATCACCTTTTCCTCATCATCATCATCATCACCTGAACATGTCAAAGAAAAGGGTAATGATGCTGGAGTGAAATGGTCAAACCAGAAACCCATGTTGTGATCATCTCCTGTTTCACCTCTTTGCCTCTTCACTCTGCTCAGACATGACTCTTCCTCCTTGTCTTCAGCCAATCTCTTCAATCCCCTGTTGTTGTTGTTGTTGTTGTCGTTGTTCCAAGAGAAGTCTTCTGCATTTCTTCTTGTTGTTGCCAAAGGTGGAAGCTTTATGGTCTGCTTAAGAGAACATCCACTGGTCTTGCGCTCAATAGGTTTGTTGTTGTTGTTGTTGCTTCGTGCAAGGGAAGGTGATTCCTTGCGGGAGAAGTTACTGCTGCTGCAGGGTAAGTCCAATCTCTGTGTGTTCATGGGGAAATGTACAGATACTGAGGCTGATGTTGCTGCTACTGCTTCACTCCTTAGTCTTCTGGTCGGTGACAACAATGAAGGACTTGAACAACCTGCCAACATCCTCTACAAATAATAGTATCTACCCAACCCAAAATTATCTATATGGTCTCTAAGTGTGTGTGTGTGTGTGTTTGCTCAAACAACTATTGATTTAAAAAATGGAATCCGATGGAAAAATAAAATAAAAATAAGTGAATCCTATATGAATGAAAAAAGAATAAACTTTTTTGTGACTTAATATGCAAATAAATAGAAAAATGAAATGAATCCCCTCCCCAAAATGAATGAAGTAATCTAACAATTAAATAAAAGAATGAAAGAATAGAACTAATCTATAAACTTAATCAAATCAATCTATCATAAACACACAATCATCGGATTCCTTCAAGTTTTTCTAACAAACAAAACCTAGAATGTAGATGATAATGATGACCAATGAAATCACATCATCATGAACAGAGGATGCTGTTGTTGAAGAAGATGATCTCCTCCGTTGATGAACAGACTTTGCTGTTCTCCGTTCCGGTTATCCATCCCGGTATGCCAAATTCCCCAGATCAAGAAACTTTGTAAACCCAGAACCCAGATCAGAACTTCACTCAGAGATTACTGTGACTGAGTAATCCTTTTCACTCTTGTTCTCTCTCTCTCTCTCTCTGGTTTATCTCTCTCTCTCTCTCTCTCACTCTCACTCACTTTTGGTTCTCTCTCTCTCTACCACTCTACAGAATGTGGTACTATACAGAGTTGTTCTACTAATACCATACTTTCACCAACTTTTTTAGTTTGTTGTCTTGTTGAGTCTTCGAGAATTGAAGTTGTCACTTTTCTTTTTACAGTAATTATTTTATTTTGGGGCAGAGTGAGTAGTGCACGAGGCAATCTGGATGTTTGAGAGCCGTTGGATTTCTTGAATCGAACGGTGGAAAAGTGGGTAAAGGTTTAGTGACCGTTTGTATATTGTCGGAGAAATATGACCGTTGGGGGAAGGAAGGAGAGTGTTGGGCGTGTCCGGACATCAATGAAATCTCTCAATGGAAATGCCAAAAAGAAAAATATACTTTTATATACACACCAAGACAAAACATTATATTACTCGTATTTTTGTCAACAAGGCATTAATTTAATTTAGTATAGTGTGATAGTACATTTTCAGTGACCAAAAAAAAAAAGATAGTACATTCCTGGTTAAAAGATCATTATACAGACCCAATAACTATTTTGGGTATTAAATTCAGACTTGTCATAAGTAAATCGTTTATAATTTTAAAAACATATGAAAACAGAAAATATATAGAAAAATCCATCATCACACTGAACAGTTTCTCATAATTATAAACAAATAGTGGGGAATACTAATTCAATTATTAAACATATATAAAAAATAATTATTTCAAAAGTACAATACTTTTTGAAAATCAAAATTTTGATTATCGGTATTGATATAAAGTACCTAGAAAAATATATAGTGAATTTGCATAGTAAGAACTTGAAGATCATCAAGTAAAAAAAACTTAGAGATCATCTTGAGACTGAGATAAATGTTTATTCTTGGTATTAAATTGCGTTAGCAATAATGGAGAGTCTATAGTCTATTTGAACCTTTAAATGCTAAAACTGAACTCTGTGTATACATTAACACACAACAGATTTCTTTAATAAATAAAAGAAGGACATCTATTTTTTTTTTGAGAAATACCATGGGAATAACAGTATTATCACAAATATAGCATGAGTCAAAAATAACCAAAATATGTTAAAATACACTTATAACCTTAGGATAAATTAATTTAAACTTTGGATTAATTAATTTAAAGTTAGGATTTAGACTTGAACTTGAAGTTTAACTGTTTAAGGCATGTGAGTTTATGATTTATTTCTTAAATATATATATATATATATATATATAATTAAGATATAAAATTTAAAGTAATAATTTAAAAATATTTTCAAAATGATTTTTCGTATTGCAAAATATATTTTTTTTAAAAAATCAAAAAGTTTTCGATATATATATATATATATATCTTTAATATTTTTCAAAAAATATTTATGTCATTTGTCTTTTTGTTAAAAACACTTTTAGGGTTTTCTAGGAGATTTATCCTTATATTTTCTATGATTCATTAATTTCGTTTATTTTTTCAAAAAAAAACTTATACTAGAATAGAGGGAGCATTGAATTTGGTATAACATGGTGTAACAAGAACGTAGAGGAGAAGCCAACTCCATATATACAAATACAATGACACAAAACATGATTTTTCAAATGAATATATTAGACAGTATATACTTTTAGAGATAGATTTGCTAGTTGTCTGCTTAACTTTATATGATCGTTTTGTTTTTGACTAAATTTTATATGATCTGTTATAGAAAGATTTAAAAAAAAAAACTAGATTATCTCCAAGGTCTTGTTTGCTTATGATAAAGTAAGTTATACCGCAATGGCAAAAGAACTTTGTTTTGCAGTTAAAGTCTATCATGAAAATGACTTGCATAAATACATTGAAAATGGTTTTATTGAATCTATGAACTTTAGTTAACTATGAAGTTTCCAGAAAATGTGTGAAAAAGAAAAGACAATTTTAATGGTCCCGGTGAAGGAATTGTCCACAGGTACTAATCTCTATCTCAAACTTAATGGGCTTATACCAAACCTAATGGGCCTTTCCGATAAAGCCTAATATCAACCCGCCGTCGTTTCATCAGATCGGCTTTTCGTCTGCGTCGTCTCTCTTCACTCGCCGGAGAATTGAAAAAAAAAAAGTAAACAGAGATGACGAAAGACGACGGAGAATTGGCGGATGAGCAGAAGAAGAAGAAGAAGCCATCCGGGTTCTGGATTTGGGCTTTATCTTCCGTTCTTCTCCGATTGATCCTGATCTCATTCTCCGGAAATCTCAACCTCTCTTCCCGTCCAGAGGTCTCCACTCCTCTCACCAGCATCCGCCGCCGTATCACCTCTCTCTTTCACTCTCAGTATCACCTCCACGATCTCGAATTCTCCTTACGTTTTTTCGTGTTTTGTGTTTGATTTTTTGGCAGTTGCTGAAGGTTACTGGTTGAAGCAGGCATCAATGTCACCATATGCAGGTTTCTCTTTCAGATTCGATCCTCTTTTAGTTTCTGATTTTTAGGTTTCTTGAATCTGAAGTCTTACTAACATGTGTGTGTGTGTGTGCAGGATCTATGTATCATGGCTCCCCGTTGCTGCTCTCGCTTCTCGGACCTCTCACGGTTCAGAGGTTAGTTGGCTGACACCAGTTCTAATCATCTGAAAACTTTGTTTCAAGTTAGTTGAGTTTAAAAAGGAAGATACTTTAAATGTTTCAGGATTAATGGGCAACCGAGTCACCTCTTTTGCAGGTACTTCCTCATCATTTCTCGAATCACCTGTTGTTGTCTTTTAGATTCTCATACCATAAGCTAAGGACTAGATTGTGAGTATATATCTTGATAAGCTCTTATCTGCGGGGCTAAGAGATGTAATTTTGCAAAAAAAGAGAGATCATCTGTCAGTCTTTACTCTTCCATTGAGAATTCGATTGTGAGAATAATTTAGGATTTTGAGATCATCATACAATGAAGCTAGTTTAGGGTTAGATTTTGAGTGTTGATCTTGCTAAAATCTTCTGTATGGGGCTAAGATATGTAACTATGTAGATAGAGTTCATTTTTCAAAGTTTACTCTTCCATGGAGAACCTTTACTTGGATACCAACACTCTCTTGGATGCAGCTTGGTTTTTGTTATTGCAGATATATTGAGTGCGATGCTTCTTAGAGGTATTGGTCAGAAACTCCAGGTGGCTTATGGATTGAATGCGAGGCTACTTGGCCTTCTTAAGTCCCCAAGGGATAAAGGTATCAACTATATTTCATTCTACTCCTCTTGGTGAAACACCAATGTGGTTATATACAGTCTTAGGAATTAGGATAGTCATTCGACTATTTGTTTTGGATCAGAGAGTGTTCTGTTTTATCTTGCAACTATTTAATTGAAGATAAAAGGCTTATCTCTCCTTTTCGTGTTCTCCCCAGGGATACTACCTTGCGGTGATATTTCTGCTCTTGTGTACTTGTGGAATCCTTTCACCATCGTATGTTGTGTGGGTTTATCGACATCCCCAGTCGAGAATCTGGCTGTCATATTGGCACTTAATGGAGCAGTTACTCGTAAGAAGATTATAATACTTGCATACAGGTATTGTTGAATAGTTTCTTGGCATGTTACACATATTTTTTCTACCTGTGCAGGACGAGTTCCTCTGGCGGCATTTGGTTTAGTCATGGCCTCACATTTATCTCTTTATCCTGCAATTCTGACTATTCCTGTATGTATCATTTTCGTGATTCATGTATTTCATGTTTCTCAAAGTAAACAGATTCTAATTCTTTTTGTTTGTTTTCCACAGGTAATCTTTCTATTGGGATTTGGTTTGGATGCTCCTCCTCTAAAATTGTTCCTTCACACCAGAAATGTAGAAAGTGAGAACAGATCAACCTCTTCTTCTTCTAAACAAGCCAAATCGAAACCGACTGCACATCTTCCCTTTTTATGGAGAACAGTCGTGCACTTCGTGTTCTGGGTACTAGTGTGGTCGCTCTGTGTGTTGGTTTTATGTGGCTTATCACTAAGTAAGTATGGTGGGCTTGAAGAGATGTTCAAAAGGTAACCCTTACCTCTGAGGGAAACCGAAATTCATATCTGATAGCCGTATATCGTATATGGAGGAAAACTAAGATTCTTGATAAGTTATATTCCAAGTCATATCATATAGTCTTTAGAGGTTCTGATGTTAGTTTGCTTGTGCCCCATCACAGTACATATGGTTTCATCCTCAGTATCGAAGATCTGTCACCGAACATCGGAGTCTTTTGGTAAGTAAAAGATCATATCATCATTGAGAATAAGAAATATCTGCATTTCTGAAATTACCATTGATCTTCCTTTCACTTTCAGGTACTTCTTTGCTGAAGTCTTCGACTTCTTCAGAAGTTTCTTCCTGATGGTATTCCACGTAAACATACTGTTTATGTTACTGCCTTTAGCCATACGGTTGAAACATCGACCTTGCTTCTTGGCTTTCATTTACTTGGCGATCTCCTCCCTTCTTAAATCTTACCCTTCGGTACGTACTTTAACTCACAGTCACCGTGGCCTGATTATTATGTTTCTTGGGAGAAGCTGTATTCATGAATGTTAAACCTCGCTTAGGTTGGAGATTCAGCTTTATATTTGAGTTTATGGGCATTGTTCGTCAATGAGTTAGCAGGTAAGAAAGCAATTACGATACTCTTTCTCATTGTTTTCCCTTTGCAAAATAGTTGAACTCTGCTTTTGTTTTGGAGTAGATATGAAGTTCTCGTTCTTCCTCTTCTGTGGATATCTTGGTGTTTCTCTCCTCAGCCCTGTGATGCACAATCTCTGGATATGGCGGGTAACAAAATTAGCAACCAAGTGATCTCAGGTTTAGAACTGTAGTAGATTCAGAAACTTACTTTTTGGTTCTTCACTTCAGGGCACCGGTAACGCCAATTTCTACTTTGGAAACGCTATTGGCTATGCGTGCTTTCAGGTAAAGTACATTACTCTATATTGTGATTTACATTCATGAAGATCAGAGTTTGATGTCATCAACCAGAGGATGAGGTTATCAGTTTTTGAGTTTCGGGTTTTCTTAAATACACGGGCTTATGGGTCTTTACGGTTGTACAGATCGTTTTCGTGGTTGAGAGCGTAAGCGCAATGCTGAACCATGACCGGGCGCTCAAGAGATGTAACCCGAACCATCAAAAAGTCAAGAACTAAGCCATTTGCAGGTACAGTGCATCATGCTTAAAGAAAAGACATTTGTCTTTAGTCTAGTGGTGCGATTAGTTCAGACCGCATACGCCTAACGCTGGCCACATGTATTTGGGTGAGTCGTTTTTTCATGTTTCAAACATAAGACCATTGAGTTTCGGTTCTGTAAACGAGACAACAAGTTGAGTAAGTGTTGGTAACTGAGTTAATCTGCTCGTATATTTATAGATTTAATTTTGATCATATTTCTTTTTTAATAAAATTATATAAACTCGAAAAAATCTGTGTTGCAAAAGAAAATTTTAAATTTTAACGGTCAGCATTCAGAACTTGGAAGAATTCTTATAAACACTTTTGTTGTTGTTTTGAATGTTAAATTTATTCGATTCACAAAACGTTTTTACAATGAGGTTCTCCTTTTTTTGTGGTTGTTTAATGACAATGCAAAAGAATAGCAATGTATAAAGATCAAGCACTATTAAGAAACATTGGTTGAGATTAAGTACCTTCAATCAAACAGTACTATTTATTCAGCTTAGAGTTGCGTAAGTAAGATTTTCAAATGTAATAAACTAATAATGTACATGTATGTTATAAAAGGCTGAGGTCAAAGGCAAAAGGAACAAAGAGATTTCATGTTACAAGATCACACATGAGAGCTTATAGAGTATAGTGATGATGATGATTAACAGGTCCATTTAGAAGTAGGGAAACAGCTGAGACGATGACACCATTTGCAATGTTTGTTCCCATTCTCTCCTTTGAAAAGCATCACTGCTCCAACAGTTAACCCGGTCACAAGTACAACCGCTGCGACTACGAACAGCACGTACTGGTACATGCTATGCTTGCGTTTAGTAACGGACGTGTTGGTGCGGGAAGCTTCCCAGCCGTGCTGTGGTCGGACAAGGAGGACAAACCCGAGGCATAATCCGGTTAAGAACCCTCCAATGTGAGAGAAATTGTCAACCCGAGGAAGCATGCCTAGCGCTAAGTTGATTGCTATGATGAATAAGAGTGTGATCAGAGCAGCCGCCTGTAAAACAAGGAACCTTGAGAAGAGAAAGTACAAATGATAAACTGCATAACCTACCCCTCGTACCTTGTTGGCGTAGATAGTCCAATTGGTGAGAAGTTCAGATAACATAGCACCAAGAAGTCCGAAGAGAGCACCAGAAGCACCAACAGAGATACTTTCTTGAAGGAAGAGAGACGAGAGTATGCTTCCACCGAAACCAGATACTAAATAGATAAGCCCGACTCTTACTGTACAATCAAAAGTTTCACTTGGTGATTAATGAAAGAGTCTAAAACTTCATCAAAGAAAAGATTGTCTGTAGGTAAAGGCAAAGAACTTACTAAAGCCAAACTGCTGCTCAAGGCGAATACCGATGAAGATCAAACTCAACATATTAGTAAGAAGATGAATGATACCAGCGTGTAGCCACATACAAGTGATTAATCTCCATCCTTGATGCTCATGTACTACTTTCCTCCACTCCAATGCTCCCATTCTCTCCAATCTGTAACAAAAAAAAAAAAAAAACAGAGGAATCTTAACAAATCCTAGACATTCTTGAGCTCAGGCATTTACAGAACAGAGAGATCAGATTCAATTGAGAATTATGAAACAAGTTTGAGACTTTCAAGGTACCCAGAAGATTAAATAAACTACACGAGTTGTTGAAAATATCGAGCTTAAACTTACGTTGAAGAAGATGGGCCGAACAAAGGATTCTCTCTAAGTGGCTGAAACGAGAATCTTCCGAGGAACTTAGCGACGCAAGCTTTGTTTGGTCCGGTGATTTTCTTAGGACAGTCGTTAACGAACATAACGGCGATGAAGACGGCGAGATTCGCGACAACGATCGCCGGAACCAGCCACGAAGTCCAATGAGTATCGCGGGAGCTTTCATCATAGAAATAGTTGTTGTTGTTGTTGTTATGAACTCCTCTGTTCTGTTTCCCTCCTCTCTCCATATCTCTGTTCGCCATTACTCTGTTTCTTTATTATCTCACAAAACTCTCAAAATCTCAGGATATATCTTATATAAATGGAAAAGTTTGATTAACGGATCAAATACGAAAGGAGGAGAAGTAGCTTGGAAGAGAGAAAGGAGGATGAATTAGAGGGACAAGAGATTGAGACAGAGCATCTGTAAAGAGTTGAGAATTTTAGGCAAAAGTTGTAAGTATTATTAGTGTCTGTATCTATCTTTGTGGAATGAAAGTAAAGAATAGAGGTTTTGGTGGTGTGTCAATGGCTAGTTAGGCGGTGGTGCCAGCTCTTCTCCAATGTTTTATTTCCTGAGTAAGAAACAACTCAAACGTCAAAACAAATGAAAGACAAATATATATATTTTTTGAAAGAAAAGAGAAGATAAAAGTTGTATAATAGTATTATTTGCTATTTAAGTGTTTCCTTGTTTTCCCTTTTTTTTTTTTTTTTTGTTCTTTTTGTTTTTTTGTTTTTTTTTTGGAACAGTTTTCCCTTGTTTTTGTATTTTAAAATTACTAGGTGACCGGTCCGCACCCTGTGCGGGTATATACAAATTCAAATTATGGACTTAATAATACAAAGTTTTAGAATAATAGATTTTATATCATAAGATCACCATCTTTGAGGTAAAGCATCAGACACAGAAAAATGATGGTACACAATATTTTACATGGAGGAGATGGAACAAAGTAACTTCAGTATCAATATGTAGTTATTGTGTGTATTTATAATTGCAACATCACAAAAAAATTTGTGCGTTGAAGGTTGAATTTTATTTTCCAAATCTGAAATTAATAGTATGTAGTTTTTTATAAGTAACATATTTTCTATTATCACTAATTAGAATTGTATTGTATATGTGTTGTAATTCTTTATTTTAGGTGAAAATATTATTATGCATAAATACATATTCTCTATTATGCTAAAGTTATTTTATAAACAATTTTTGTTGATAACATACATTTGTACTAAGCTATAAATAAATATTTACGTGTTTCATTATGATATTAAGATATTTTAGGAATGTCTAAACATAGATTTAAAAAGTAAAAACTAATAATCATATGTTTAATCATGTTTGTTAATACAAACACAATATTTATAATGGGCCCGAATTGCACATAGAAATAAGAACTTGAAATACAAAAGATACTAATCCCAGCCCGAATGGCCCAAAGTAAAAACATCTGAACAGATGACAAATTTGTGTGGTCGATGACCAATCACTTTAAAAAAAAAAAAACAGAAAAGGAAAGAACAAAATTTTATGTCTCGATGTTTCTTTATCGAAAGACGATTTCCATGGCCAAACTTTAATCAAAGCTAGAGCACTCATGATACGAACGGCCGCGGCTTACTTGTGGTGGTAAAGATGGAAACGACTGCTTGAAGAGGTGCAAATCGATGGCAGCAAATCAAAGTACTTCACCTTTTCCAATATATTTAGGTGATTTTCTCTATTTTGTCTTTTAGCAGATATAAAAATCTAAAAAGAAAATCTTATTTGTTTTTTTTTTAACTTGTTATGCATGTTGGATCTGAAGGCATCCGTGAAAAACACGATGAGTTTGAGATGGTTGAAGAACTTCACCTTTTCAGGTCTCTTTGACAAATTCCTAAGAAGATTTGAAAGACCACAAAAAGGTAAATCTGATTTCGCATCTTTTTTTTTGATCCATAGTTAATAGTTAATAAAAATCTAATTGTTGTAAAATTGATTCAAAAAAAATCTGAATAACAAAAGCCAAATAACAGTGGCAAGAAAGCCTAAGATTCTTTTGACATTTTCTATTTACTGTTAAAGTTATTAATTACAGCTCTAGTATCTGTGTTTAAGTGTCTTAAAAATGGTGCATTTTTTTTTCCTTTCAGGAATAATATACCCTCAGAGAAAATATTAATATTCAAAATACGAAGATTATGGATTTCATTATTCTATAAAGAGAACATGAATTTAAAATAAAAGATAAGTTATTTCCAGATACTTTGTCTTCTTTCACGTTATTATAAATCCAAATTTCCATATAAATACAGCATGATTAGTTTATTAATATGTGTATAAACAACATAATGAAATCATGTTCAAGAAAATACCTATATAGACCGAAGATAAAATCTTAAATATGAATGAAACATCACATTTGTTGAAGGCATCAGTCTCTGAAATTGCAGGATTAATCAAGAGCTGTGATGCCTCAAATGCATTGGTGATTTGGAATTCACCTGCAGCGAATATATAGGTAAGTATATTATAATACAATTAACATCCACTTGAAAATAATATTATCTATTAATTTTTCTTTTTAATTTAATAGATAAGAAAAGTTTATACCTCTAAATCTCA